AGCATTTCACAAACTACCAAAGTGAGAAACACTTCTGCTTTTGTTCTTGCTGTTGAGATGACTGGTTTTAAAAGAGCCATATTGTATGTATAGACAAGGTATATAATCTGCACACTTAACAGTACTAAATCTGACCTGAGAATGCCTCTGAGGTGGTATTTAGTGTCACATGTGTTTTGCATATGGAATCAACAAATATGTTTGTATCTACTCAGGTACATGTGCATAGATATAGAACTATATTGATTTCCTGTGCAAGCATACATTTAAAGTATGTGGTATTTTCTTTTTCCGAGAACATAATACTGATTTATGAACACAAAACAGCTCATAGACTGCGATACAGACAGTGTTAGTAGTCAAGTGTCTAAGCAAAAAAAAATGATTAAAGTGAATACACAGACACAGACATACACACACACACACTATTTCCTTAAATTTATGGAAAATTAAACAGGCACAGGTGATTATTCTGAGCCAGCAGGAAAATGTGGATAGCTAGCATAGGTCGGAACAGCAGTGAAAAGCCCACGGTAAGGATCACACCATACCCAGCCACCGGAGATTTGGGATGTACACTTACCCTGAGCGTCTACTGGCAAGGGTGCACGGTGAGGAAGGGCGGGATACACATTTGACACAGAAAGGAAAACACAAAGTCAAACTGGTATCTGAGCTGTGTCTGCCTAACCTTTTGCTCATGGCTGGCACACTTACATTCCAGCGCCAAACCCGCATCCATGAGAAGATCCACCTCCAAGCTCCCCCGTCCTGTCTAATGCTCCTTCCTTCTCGGCCACTCCTCCTCGCCTTTGTACTTGGTAATGTCCACCGCCAGAGGATAAGAGTTTGCTCAAGAGCGAGAACAACAGGAACCCAGAAGAAGCCATTTAGATAGAGACCTTAGCAAGAAACGCTTTCAAGTATGAGTCAATATAACTTGGGGATGGAGGGATCTATAGACTTCTAATATCACAGTGGGATGAAAAGCAAAGAAATTAGAAAGCCTACATTCTTAATATAACAGTAAACATTCTACTGACATGGAACTCTATGCACACACAACCCGCTCCCCAGAATTTATAATCTCGGTTTTGCAGATACTGGTGAAAATAACAACAACAACAAAACAAAAACTACCTATTAAAGAGCTGACACCAGCATTTCAGCCTTCTTTCTCAAGCTAAGTCCCTGACTAACTTTAGTGGTTTCAGCTAGAAACAGAAGGACTCACCATAATTCAATGTTTAATTTTCCTTTTATCATTTCTTAGTGCTAAGGACTGAACCCAGGGCCTTGTGTATACTAGCTAACTGCTCTCCTGCCGCACTACATTCTCAAACCAATTTTTAATTTTAATTTAATTTTTTAATTTAAAAAAATGTGTGGATATAGCTAAGCTGCCAAAAACCTGCCTGCATGTGGGTTTGACTCAGAGCCACACAAACACACACACGCACACACGTACACGCACACGCACGCACGTACACACATGCACGAATGCACAAACAATGATGATAATACGAAAGCTAGTCATGAGAATTAAGGATACTGGTTTCGCACAGTAACATGTCAGAAGTAGGTAGGCAGCTTAAAGCACCTCATTTTTGATCCTGTTTCTTCACAGTTGGGATCCCAAAGACATGAGCAGGAAGTATATCTCAGTAACCCCACCTGGAGGTCAAGCCCCCTGGGGTAGCTCCACCTCACTTCTTCAGCTTCCTGTGGTCCTCCACTTTTTATGAATGCTGGTCTGATCCAGCGCTTAGACCCGAGCTTCTTTGAGGCGAGGGTCCGGCCACCCCTCTATGATTCCTGGCTTTGTGAGCATTTAACAAGTTTGCTTTGATGAATGAGAAAGCTTGCTACATGTATCCACAGATGGAGCCAATCCCGGGTCCATGTAAAATGATGCTGGAATAAACCTAACTGGAGACAAACCACTTAGAGTGTTTGATAGAAATACTGCCGTACTTAGACTACTGATCACCAAGCGGTAAAAAGAGAGTTGAATGTAAAGCAATGTGGTAAACGATTATGTCTGCAGAGAGAAGCAGGGGATACCAGCTCTTTACAAGCCACATACTGTACGAAGTGTCTGCCTCTGTCAAAGACAGGGCTAATGCCAGGCTGATCTGCACGAAGGCGTTTGAATTCTTCTAATGGAACGTTAGAAGAATGACCAGATTGCTGATCAATTTCTAAATAACAGGCAACTGAGTGCTGCCTGTCAGCACCTGAGAGTGACCAAAGTCACTTGGCTGCGTGAGTCAGGCTTGGGTCTCACGGGACACATAGACCCATGTGACATTCGTCTGCCCCAGCTGACTAATATCTCACAAGCAGAGTTAAGGAGCATGTCACTTGAAGTACATGGGCAGTCACAACTTGACCAAGTTTTCTATCAGAATGGGAAACTCCATCTAACCAGAACCCCAAATAACTCCCAGATTTCCCTTAAACAATGGCCCTTCCATCCCAGTCTCTGGCCAGACACCTGCTAGGTAAGCATCCCAAGATCCTGACAGGGTGACGACCCTAAGCCTTCTGGAAGGCTGGACTACTCCAGTCAACCAACAGTACGCTGAAAATACACTTAGGTGTGTTGGGGGAAAATGATAAAGAAATCAAACGTGTGCTGTGATTGTCCCTGTAACTAGGAAATCACCCAGAATGTTGCGAGCAGCTGGACAGACTGGTTCTAAGGGTACCAGCACAGGATCTAGAAAGAGGACATGGTTAGGACTTTAAAAGGAGTCCTTCAGAACCCCATGATCACAGACCCCCCCCCCCCCTAGCCTCAGGCCCCAACGCCCCAAGAAACCTCACCGTCTGATGCCAATTATTCCCAAGTCCTAGGGTCAGGCACTTTTCATGTTTGGTACAGCCAGCTCCTGAGTCTCGAATCATCCTCTGAGGCCTGGATGATCATTAGTGTCTAGGCAGCCTACACCGGCAACCAGGCAGGCCTGATTACCACAGCTTCCTTTAATGGTACACTGTGGCCAAGCCATTAGGCTGCACCCTGAAGTCCAAACTCTGCTAACTGGACAATGCCAGGGATGTTGAGTGCCAGGAAAACTCCCTCACCTCCATGCACGGCTTAGATAAATGGATGGTCTCCATCTCCAGGGACTTGAGGCCTCTGACAAGGGAACACTGTAAAGAGCTGAGGGAATCAGCTACTTTCTCCTCCCAAACCTTCTCTAAGCCTAAGCATCACGCCTGGACCACCTCCTCATGCCCGTTATCACTCCTCTTTCAGAGCTGGCCCGGTGTCAACCAGGTGGACAGGCTGCACTTCTGGGAGCCTCAGAGTGACGGACTATGGTAACACAGCCTTCACAATATTTTCTCGTAGACCCACAAAGATAATACAGGCTCTAAGTAATAGTACTTGTCAGGGGCTAGCTCCCAGGTGCCCTCATGAGAGAGAACGTGAAGTTGAGACACATAAGCCCCTCAACACATATCCCAGAGAAACTACAGCAGTCAAGAAGGGCAGAAGATTTTAGTGTCTCTGAAAACACTACTGTATTCATCTTGAAACGGCATAGGGTATTTGTAAGAACCAAAGGGACAGAGACCTTTTAAAAAGTCAAAGTCTAAAAAGCCTTTTCTGCAATCTTCACTGTTCTCCACCATCTCCCCTCTTGAATATGTCTTCTCTTTCCAAACAATCACTGCGTGTTGAGGAAAGGGGAAACTAGGGGCTGGGGTTCTCGCCCTACAAAAGTTGCTTTGAACAACCTTTAAACTCATTATCACCCATAGAACAGCCTGCCAGAAGAACCCCATTTTATCAATTGAGATACAACAAATTAAGGGAGCTGGGGCTGGAGAACTGGCTCAGGGGTTAAGGACCCTGGCTGCTCTTCCAGAGGACCCAGGTTCAATTCCCAGCACCCACATGCCAGCTCACAGCTGTCTGTAACTCCTGTTCCAGGGGATTTGATACTGGCACAGACATCCATGTAGTCAAAACACCAATGTACATAAAATAAAAATAAATACATACTTTTAAAAAGCTACCAAGAATTGCTGCTTTCTACTCAAGAGAGATTTTCCCATATTTTCAGACTCTGGGAAATGTTACAAATGCTTGCCATGTAGACACAGCTAGACTTTTCTCTTTAAGCCCCATCCAATCTGGAGAGGCCAAGATGGCTCCTGAATGTGACAAATTCTTTGGTTTGTCATGAGGAACAGGAGACGGGTAGGGAGGAGACGGCGTCCACCGGCCTGGTGTATGAATTTTTGCTGGTGAATCCTTGCACGCCACCCTCATGAACACACTAAAAAATCCCCTAGGCGGCAAAGACTCTAGGCTCCACTGCAGCCGCCGCTCATGCACCCGGGAGAGGATGTCAGAAATTACAGGCTGAAAGATGGAGAAAGAGGAGGACATCATTTCTGTGATAATGACACAGAGAATCTGCATAAAGGCTCCTCTGTGTTATCTCAGGGTTTCCAAGAACTTTTTCTATTATTATTATTATTATTATTATTAAGTACAGTATGTGAGAACCTACCTGGTTTTGAAGACAGATGTGGGGTAAGGACAAAGACTTAACCAAGGGCTTAACACTCATCCATGTCCTGCATGTTAAGAACTTAAGTGCAGGGACTGAAGAGATGGCTCAGCAGTTACGAGCACTGGCTGCTCTTCCAGAGGTCCTGAGTTCAATTCCCAGCACTCACGTGGCAGCTCACAATTATAACTACAGTTCCAGGAGGTCTAATGCCTTCTTCTGGTCTTCATGGATACCACATACACACATGGTACACAGATGTACATGAAGGCAAGACACCAATACGCATAAAATAATAAAGTAATTTTTTTAAAAGACCTTTAATCCAGGTGGGTGGGGCCCGCTCCCATCCTCTCCCGCCCCGGCCCTCCTTATCTAAGCAGGCCTAGGAATCACACAGCTCCTGGTTCAGATGTGTCACACATCTGCTTACTCTGAGTCACAATGTCATGCAAACTCATTGGTTACCTTTTTTTGCCTTCTTCTGCAGTTTCAACGTGTCAGAGGACTTCTTTTTTATCTCTTGGCGAGCTTTCTTATATTCTAAGAGAAAGCAGAATATTGAATAATTTTACCACTCTGTTCAATCTTTATTCTAGAAAGCATACTCTCAGACACCCTGCAAATAGCCTATTGCATGCAAATACACGCAAGATGAAAGTCACGTGACAAAGGAGCTGTTCACATGACAAACAGCGAAATACACTGAAGTCTTTCCCTGTCCCACCGACAGCAAGAACATATGCCATTGGGGATTGTTTTAATTAAAAAACAAACAAACAAACAAACAAACAAACAAAAAACACAATATATCTGTTAGAATTCAGAAAGACCGAGCAGTGGTGGCGCACGCCTTTAATCCCAGCACTTGGGAGGCAGAGGCAGGTGGATTTCTGAGTTCAAGGCCAGCCTGGTCTACAGAGTGAGTTTAGGACAGCCAGGACTGTACAGAGAAACCCTGTCTTAAAAACCAAAAAGAAAAAGAAAAAATTTGGGAAGATGGTCAATGTCAATGTTATTGACTTTCCCAAAGCTCTTGGGATCCTGAGATGTGTTTGCTGAAGGCATAAACGATCCAGGGCCAGAAGAGTTTTCTCAAAGCCCGATCCCATCCACGTCACTTTCACGCTCAAGCACACCCACGTGGGGCTGGTGAGATGCCTCAGTAGATAAAGCGCTTGCTGTGTAAGCATGAGGACCTGGGTTTTGATCCTCAGCACCCACAGAAAGTAAAAAGCCAGGTGTGTCCCCGAGCACCTGTAGCCCAGGGCACCTGGGAGGAGATAGGTGGATCCCTGAGCTCACTGACCAGCATGGATAAAACAGCAAACTCGCTACAGTGAAAAGAACCTTTCTCCAAAATAGGTGGGCAGCTACTGAGGAAGACAGCTAGCATTGACTCTAGCATTCTCAGGTGTACCCAGGGGCACGAGTGCACAGTTAGGGGATGCATTCTTCTTTTGGTGGCCTTCTCTGTTCCTTTCTGAGTTTCTCCCACGTTCCCTGACTCTCCGAATGGCTTCCTCCCTATCTGGCTCCCCTCCTCACTAGCTCTCCTCCCCCACTGCCCAGCATTCACTGCAACGAGACAGGGTCCCCTTCAAACAGCACCTTGTTTTCTAATTCCTCAACCCTCGTGCGCTCGCCTGCACCGCCATGGGACTCTGGCTTCCCCGTGCCCTAGCCTGCACCTTCCTGCAATGTCCACGTCTCCAAGGACAGTGATGGTGCCCTGGTGTCTTCCCCACGTGGGGGACGTGTAGCACACATAACCACTGATGGCAAAGTGAAGGAGGTACTGTCTCCCCATGCCTGAAGAGGTTGGCATTCGGATCCCCCGTGGCCTGTCCAGACAAGAGGCCACCTTACAGATATGCAAAGACTGATAAAGGGCCAAACATGTCCTCAGGCCCAGGCTGTCTCTGTTTTGTTGGGAACATGAAGGAAAACAGGAGCTGATTAGTACTTCTCTGTATACACTTGGGATGGACAGGAAGTGTATGAATCCTGAGCGTCAATCAATGGATTTTGTCTTACTGAACAAGCACAGGTCAAGTAGAAGCCTTTGCTGCTTTCTCCCTGTGATAGGGCTCAGAAAAAATCGCCCCTAGACAAGCTCAATACATCACCTTTCACGTCTCTTTCACAGTTAGCATTACTGTGTATTTACCGAACTAATTAAACGTAAACTATCAATTCTTTCTCCATCTGTAAGATAACATTCACATAGTTCTATTTTCTTTCACCAAATGAAACCTCGGCCAGACACGTGTGGTGAGCCTCAGAAGATGGCAAGCAACGGTTTGATTAAACTCAGTGGGAACAGAAAGAAGTTCTATAAATTTGTACACAGCCTTGATGGGTCCTGAAAAGCTTAAGACTTAAGTATTGTTTCAAACACAGGAGCCTGGAAATATGGGTCAGCAAACGAAAGCATTAGCTGTTCTTCCAGAGGGACCCAGGTTGAAAAACCAGCACCTGCATGGCAGCTCACAACTGTAACTCCTCAGTGCACACAGCTTTTGTTATTTTACAAATTATTTCGTGAAAATGCTCCACTGAAGTTCGCTCAAGTTCTCCAGTAACACGGCTCCTTGTAAGAAGGAATGCATGTCCACCAGAGCCTATCATCAACTAAACTTCTAAAACCAAGATGGACTTATGTATTTGGTGCCACACAGGGAATGCAGGGGAATTCAATCACTCTGGGTGCCTGAACATGAAGAATGAATGATCTGGACAGATGCCAAGTCCCCAGTGGTCACAGATAGCTTGTAGGAATGTGGGGGAAACATCTTCATTGTCACACCTAAAATAAGCACAATCAACTGTCCCCAGGACCAGCAGGTGGCCTATCTCAGGAGCCACCTTACATGGTACAGCCATACTCTCAGAACACAGGCTGTCTTCACTAAAGCCTGTGCGGTGTCTTGTCATAGGGTTCCTTATCCCCTGTATTAGCTGATAACACAGCTACCTTTCTATACATCCCAGGACACCCAGCAAGTAAAGAACCTCAGAATTAGCCAGCTATAGTGGCACATGTCTGTTAACTCAGCACTTGGAAGGCTGAGGCAGGAGGATCATTTGAGGTCAGGAGTTCAAGATCTGCCTAGGCAGTGTAGTGGGTCCTCATCTCAAAACCAACCCACAGATGAGCCAGAATGATCTACACAAGGAACAGGTGTTATTATGGTCCTTTCCTGTAGGCCCGTGTGACAGGACTAAAACACATCATCACATGACAGTGACCAGTGTGCTCTTTCCTCTGCTGGGAGCACCTAGCTCCGTTTTTCAGAGCCATCAAGATCCCCATGACTAGCTAAAGGAGTCCACAAGGCCTTCTTACCCAACAGAATACAAAAAAAAAAAAAAGAAAGAAAAGAAAAGAGAAAGAAAAAAAAAAGGCCAGTACCTGGCAGGTGACCCAAGGTCTGTTTACATTATCAGGGTAAATGCTCTGAAACGCCTTAAGTTCAAATGTTTGGCACTGAACCCACAACCACAATACATATTAACTTGGGTGACTGAGAAAGCACAGAGCAGTCAGAAAGACAGTGCTCAGCAGTGCTGTATGCCGGACAAGCACCACTCACTCCTGTAGAGGGAACACTAGGGAGCACTCCTCCCCCAAGCTGAAATGCCTACAGGACAAGGAGAGACAGAGAGGGCTCCGAGCTGTTTTGGTGACAAGAATAACCCACCAGGCCTGTGGCACCTGCCGCAGCAACACTCACAGCCACCGTGCTCCAGGCCCCTTGCTGTACCTTTTGCGTGGTCCTTGTCCAGCTGGTTGGCCACTTTCTTCCATTCCTCCATTTGTTCTTGCAGTGGGTTTATCAGGCAATCAATCAAAGCACTTTTGCCAAAAGATAAAGAACAGGAGAGATTAAACAGGTATGTCCTGTTCTCCAGATACATACTACATCAATGGCGGCACTGCAGGGATAAAACAGAAGCATCTGCAGTTTGAGGACAGCCTGGATTACCTGGCAAGATGCTCCAAAGGATTTACACTTAGTGGTCAAGACATACTTAAATCATGTCCCTGAAACAAATAATAGCAGCATAATGGCCCACCACTGGCTCAGAAATGCCAGCTTCAGAATGAACGGCCTTGGTCTCCGGATACTTTTGATGACTATTAAGGAGACATAAATACAAGCTGGGTTTGTATACCATTAATCCCAGGAACTGAGAAAGCGGAGACAGGTGGATCGCTGTGAATTCCAGGACAACCTGGTCCACAAAGTGAGTTCCAGGCCAGCCAGAGATATCTCCAAACGGGCTGGAGAGATGGCTCAGCGGTTAAGAGCACTGACTGCTCTTCCAGAGGTCCTGAGTTCAATTCCCAGCAACTACATGGAGGCTCACAACCATCTGTAATGGGATCTGATGCCCTCTTCTGGTGTGTCTGAAGACAGCTACAGTGTGCTCATATACATAAAAATAAATCAGTAAAAAAAAAAAAAAAAAATGACATAGAGGTGATGAGCTGGAGTGACCGCTCTCCTTATTTACTCTGCTGTTTTCCAGCCAGCCCACATTAAAAGCCAGGTTACAGGAAGCCGGGGTCACCCCTCAGGCCACAGAATGGAAAACACTAAAGGACAGAGACATCGGAGCCTAACTTTTGCCTTCAAAGATTTGGGGAGGAGAGAAAGCATTAATATCCTTTTTAAAGACTCCAGGGTGCTGCCAGGCACTCTGGACCTGAAGTTATAAAGACACAGTAACTATGCAACCTGGACGAGGAGAAAGATGGAAGAGACCAGGACATTGTTACGCTGCAAGTGCCGGTTTCTAATTGATGGCAGAGAGGAGATAGATGTCTGGGTGCACCTGTGTACGCTGTGTAGCCCCTCCCAGAAAGAGAATGGCAGACAATCCTACTGATCTGCTTGGGACATAAGGGCCATCAGAATTTAACTAGTGACTCCAAGTCACTGGGCCAGCTGCTGTCATTCCACTGTATTCTGGGTTCCTAATAACTGGAAGGCAGGTACCACTCCCTCTTGGGGGCTATGTAACCATCCTGGGGGACAGGGCAGTGGGGCAGGCGGATCTCATTCCTTCCAAGATGCCCCTGTGAGAAGGAGCCTCAGCAGTGTGTACCATCTCCACAACTGGTGGGTGGTAAGGAGACCCGTGAGGCAAGGGCAGGCTCCTGGGGCGGGGGCTGGACTAATGGTTCTTCATTTCGACCCAGTACTAGACCCAACCCTAGCACACAGCAGTTTACCCAACTTATGCAGTGACTGAGCAGCAGTGGAAGGAATGGGTTATAGGGACTCAAACACTACTGGGTGCTGTAAAAGGAAGCATGCCATGTCACCGCATCCCTAACCTGACACTCTGGGATAGGGCAGGGGATGCTCCTCACCTGGAGAACTGCCTCAGTTTGGCCTCGATGCTCCTGTGCCGCATGCACATTCTGGTGAGCGCTGAGCCGATCTCCCGGGTACCACCTGGAAAAGCAAAGGAGGCCCGGTTGAGGAGTGGGGGATGAGCAGGAATCCAAGACCAAGCACGGTTTCATCACACCGTTGCAGAACCCAAGACACTGCCTTCAGAACTTCTCATTGCACATGTCTGCATATACAAACACACATGTGTAAATCTGTATCACATGGTGTGTCTGCATATCATCCAAACTGAGGTTACTCTTACTATAATCATGTGTAATGTTTTCTGTTCTGAGATTCTCCATTCATTTTTGTACTATTGATTGTGAGTCAGAAATCCAGGCCAGTGACCTGAATTCAACACATGGTGGAGGGAGAGAAAGGACTCCTGGAGATTGTTGTCTCACACACACACACACACACACACACACACACACACACACACACAGCTCATGGAAGATGGCAAAGATCCCCCACCCCAACCCACCCCATCTGCTCAAATGACCCTCAAGGCTGTTTTGGAACAGTTAAGGGCTACTCTGGTCCATCATTTCAGGGTCCGTGCAATTCTACAGTAATAACACAGTCACGGAATATTTTTTCACTGGACACTAGTGATCAAGAAGATCTCTGAGTTCAGCAAGTGTGGGAGGGAGCTAAAACATACTTTGATTTTCCCAAGATTCCCATCATGCCTTCCCTTCAGGAGCACCACACCCTTCCCAAGATTAGTTTTTAAGTCCTTCTGTTCCTCCTACTTCTGGAAAAATTCTTGAACCAGAATTTACTGGGATGTGTGGAGAATGAACTGTAACCTCAGCTCAGAACTGCATAAGGACCCTGGGAGGTACAGTCGACGGTGTTAGGAAAATACAAATGTGTAGCTTGTGAAACTGGGGGAAGTGTCAAATAAAACACTATTTTTTGACCAACAAGAGAAAGCCACAGGAACTTACGACAGGTTTAACCAAATCACCAGGGGGGATAAATCCCTCTTATGAAAACCCATGATGTTACGCATGTTACATGTTGTTCTGTTGTATAGAAATGTTTGTCTGTTGGTTCAAGTGCCCCTCACTTTCCATTTCTGCAAGCTAAGAGCTCTCTACAAGCAAATAACAGTAAAATCATGGCTATTAAGTAGTAATGGTTCAGCTGAGCATGGTGGCACAAGTTAGCTGCTCACAGCACCTGGGAGGCAGAGGCAAGCGACTCAAAGCCACCATGGCCACTGTGAGTTCAAAGCCAGCTGGGGCTAACCAAATCTGGATGGATGGATGGATGGATGGATGGATGGATGGATGGATGGATGGATGGCATTCCCACTTGGGAGGCAAATCCAGCAGATCCTGTGAGCTTCAGGCCAGTCTGGTCTATACAACAAGGTCTGGACCTGCCAATAAGACATTAGTGAGACTCTGGTTTTTAAAAAGTGTGTGTGTGTGTGTGTGTGTGTGCGTGTGTGTGTGTGTGTGTGGTCTGTGTGTGACTATATATATTCATATATTCCCAAAGGCTACATTTTCAGGGAGCTCACTCAGTCCTCTCAGTCAGCAACATTTAGGTCTGGACCCACACAGAGTCAGTAGCAGGACTCCTGTCCTATACTCAGGCTTGAGTACTGAAAGTTACCTTCAGATTTTCCCAGAAGATCAAAACCCACACTTTACTGCTAACTAACCTGCTGTAAAAGCTGGAGCAAAAAGCAAGTGTAGTCCCAAGGCTGGTCTGGCATCTAAATTGTGCCTTTGGGGGCTGAGGATGAAGGTCCATCAGGAAAGTACCTGCTTAGCATGTTATGAAGCATTTGGGCTCCATGAAACTACCATGGTACCTATAATCTTCGCACCCAGGAGACGGATGCTACAGAACCAAACATTCAGTCTTTTTCAACAATACAGCAAGTTCAAGTCCAGTGTGAGATACATGGGCCTCATCACCCCCCAACCCTCCCCACCCCCCACCCCCGAAAAAAAACAAAAAACAAAACACCTGGCATTCTACAAAGTGTTTGTGCCTTCCCACTAGGATCACCACTAGAGGGTGCTATTCTCACATGCGCCATCTGTCTCCCCATCTGCCTGTTTTTAGGGTTTTTATTGCTTGTGAACAAAGGTGAGGAATGAGGAACGCTTTTTCCCCAGGAAAAGATATCTTTTCCCTGAGCCTTCATTTGATTAAAAGTTAATAATGTGGCTACACAGGATATTGGCCCACTTATTCCCTGCTGCAAGGAAGGTAGACCAAGGCTTTCCTAGGGGGAAATCAGTAGCAGCTATCAAGAAATGCCCTAAAAATAGCATACACTCCTGGACCCAGCAACTCTAATACTAAGAATTTAACCTGAGGAAATAATGAAGAAAAATGGCGACTCCTTACCTGGGAGGACAATGATTGAAATGTTTACAATCTTAAAAACTCCATTATAATGATTTAGTTAAATGAACCGTGGGGCACAGACACCCAACCGAACAGGACACAGCTATTTAAAAATAGAATTATGTCACTTGGGTGCTGCTTAGAGTATCTAAGTACTTTTCACATATTAAATCAGTCAATCCTCACAATATTCTCAGTTGTGTTGACAACACTGCTGTGCTCGGTCTACAGACAGGAGAAGACCTTTAAGCAATCTGCCCAAGGTTACAGGATTAGTAAATGCCACCCAAGCAGGCTGAATCTTCTGGGTTTGTGCATTCAATTGTAGTCAGTTATGTGACACTTCATATAGACAAAAAAGATGGCGGGGCTCAGAGGACGACCAATGTCCTCATCTACCCACCAGCACGGGGGTGAGGTTTTGTTCAGTCATCTCTCAGAGTTTGATTCTTGAGTCTAGATGTATATACTTGGTGCTGAATGACTAGACTGCCCTGGCAAAGCCAGTGCAGAGAGCTAGGTGATACGACTCTACTCAGGGCTAACCTCTACTTCCATGTCCTTGAGATAGAGTTAGGGGCTGGAAAGGATCATGCTGAAGGCCAGTCCCCACACTCCGTTTTTCTGTCCTATTATTTCAGTGCCTTCCTGATGGCTTCCGTGGATTTATTTTATCCCCAGGGCCTTCCAGAAGCTATAGGCCGATACCTAGCAGTTTCTGAACACAATGCCCGTGCCCACCACTGTGCCTCAGCACAGGAAGCCACAGAGAAGGCAGGAAATGAAGAGACATAAAGCAAACCTCCTACCAGCAGTATCTGTGTAAGTGGCACAGGGGCAGCAGGCAGGTGACATTCCCTGTGGACCCCATAACCCAGTGCTGTTGATCTTGGCAAGTATGGGTCACCCTAAAAACAGAACTATTTTTAGCAACAGCTGATGCTTTGCTGACCTTTGCTAGGACTTTATAAAAAAAATAAATAAATAAATAAAATAAAAAATAAAAACCTCAGCTGGTTTGAATGGGAGGAAACTGGCCAGAGCTACAGAGACAGAGGAGACATCTGGAAGAGGGCCAATCTGACAGTCGGAGGATTTATGGAATCACAAATGGCTGGTTTAGGCACCTGGCCACCCTGCAAGAGTGGACAAGACCTTGCTTCTTGAATGAGGGAATATTTATTATTTGGAGGCTGGATAAACAATCCATTTGGGCTTTTTTCTTTATTCCCTAGGGTACATAGGAGGCTTACATTAAATATCTTCCTCCATGTGTTCTCTGTGTTATTTTTTTTAATTAATTTTTGAGATAAGGTCTCTTGATGAACCAGGAGACTGGTCAGTGAGCTTCAGGGCATTTCCTATCTTCTTGTCCTCAGAGAGGACTACAGGCGCGTGCTACCACCACACCCACAGTGGTCCAAGGTGCGCGCGCGTGCGCACACACACACACACACACACACACACACACACACACACACACACGGTAACCCTAGGATGAAGGCACCGTCATTGCACCTCAGCTGGGCTTGCTAATAAGCCACACAGCAGCTGAACAGAATAGCCAAGGCCCAAACCCTGCTTTGTTTGACTGATATCAGAAGACTTCTTCCAGCTATGACAAGCTGCAAACATCCCCAACTGAGGACAAAGAGCAGCATTTAGCATCACAGACAGAATACAAATTGTTTGTGACTACTTCTCAGAGGGTGGGAAGGAAACCGGGAGGGCAAAGGCCACGAGCCACTGTTCCTTCCTCCAAACAGTAGCCCACGTGGCTAAGGCCACTAGAAAGGTGGTGTCTATCAAGTGGCATTGTCGCATCCTTCCAAGCTGCCTCATTTGCAGGCGCCTCCATCCCCCAGCACAGCAGGGGCTGTATGGGCAGAAGGCCTGTGTGAGCAGGTGGCAGGGGAAGACTGAAAGCCAGTTTGTCAGGCTGGATTCTGCAGTGGAGCTGGGAAGAGCTGAGGAATAGATGAGGAACTGCTCTGGCCAAAATGTGAGGTTACAGTAAGTTACTGTGTGTTGTGGCTGCCCTGCCAGAGGCTAATTAGGAGCCTGCTAGACAGGAGAATAATAGTCTCTGGAACCTCCCAGAAGCAGGACTCAGTACAGGGCAGTTCCACGGGGGGCACAATCTCTCCCCTCTGGACTGGACTATTGTTTACAGCTCAGAGCAGCCTTCCACCCATCTTTTAAGACATTCTTTTGTAGCCAAGGCTAGACTCAAGCTTGCTAAGTAATCAAGGGAGATCTTGAACTTCTAATCTTCTTGCATCCACTTCCCAAATGTTGGGATTATAAGCGTGTGTGAATCCATCAGCTTGGGAATCACATGCACGGCCTTCATGTGTCCTAAGCCAGCTCTAAATGGTCATTTTTATGCTCTGAGCATTAGGGGATGTTTCACAGCATCCTAGGTCTCTCCATGAGACGCCAGCGGCACTTGTCTGCCTCCCCATGACAACCTGACGTGTCCCTCTCATAATCTGTCATTATCAAAGCCATGAAAACCAGTAAGCCAGCAGCATGGCCAGCTGCAAAAGAACAGAAGTGAGAGGTAACTTGCATTCTGCAATGAAGCAAACAATCCACTTGTCATTAAAGAAACATTGACTTAAAAGCACACGACTGGCATTCTCTACTGCTTATGTGCAGGACAAAATATTGGGAAAGGCTAA